CTATAAGACAGCCCAGAAGTCCAAGTGCGGCCACTGCCAGGGGAGTGAAAATCCAACTGCTTCAAGGTACATGGCAAAAGGCAGACTCAAAATAAATAAATAAATAAATAAATAAAAATAAAAAGGTGGCCAGGTAAAAACATGGTAAGTAAGCAAAAGTGTTGATAAGCTGTGTGGAGGAGAAAGATCCGGGGGTGCTGGTAGAAACTCATCTGACCATGAGCCAGCCAGCAGGGTGCCCAGGTAGCCACAAAGGCCAATGGCATCCTGGTTTGTACCAGAAATTATGTAGTCAACAGAACCAGGGAGGTAATCATCTCCCTAAATTCAGCTCTGCAGAGGCTCAAGTACCATGTTGTTTTGGGCCCCTCACTACAAGAAAGACATTGAGGTCCTGGAATGGGTTCAGAAAAGGGCAGTGAAGCTGTGAAGGGCTTGGGGCACAAATCTTATGGGGAGTGGCTGAGGGAACTGGGATTGTTCAGTCTAGAGAAGAGGAAGCTCAGGAGAGATCTTATGGCTCTCAACAACTGCCTGAAAGGAGGTTGTGTTGAGGTGAAAGTTGGCCTCTTCTCCCAGGTAACATGAATAGGACAAGAGATAAAGGCTTTAAGTTGTGCCACGGGAGGTTCAGGTTGGCTATTAGGAAGAATTTATTCTCTAAAGGAGTAGTAATGCATTGAAACAGACTGCCAAGGGAGGTGATGGAGTCACCATTCCAGGAGGCATTTAAGTAAAGGGTAGCATCTAGGGACATCAGCTTAGTGGGCAGTACTGGCGGTAGGGGGATGGTTGGACTAGAAGATCTTAGAAGTCTTTTCCAACTTCAATGATTCCATGACATTTACCAACAGAGAAACAGTGGCAGTGAGGTCATTGTGGTAACAAGGGGAGCTCACAATGCTGAGTCCTGCAGGTCAAAAACATGCGCTGCAGAATTCCCCAAGAAAGAAGTCAGACCAGTAATTTGGCTCCTAGCGCACTGGCAGATTTCCTGGACAAGATGTCATGTCTCAGTGTCCCCTCTACTAAAAAAACAGGGCCACCCACAGGGTGTGAGCCTGCCAATGAAGTCCTGAAAGCATCCTTGTCTTGTCTCACTGCTGGTAGAAAAGGGCTGTGAGGTGATAGGGAGACAGGCAAAGGCAGGGTATATGGTAGAGTTGAGTATGGGAGCTGGGGTGCATAGAGCTCTGCCAAAGCTGCCCAGGAAGCAAGAAAAAACCAAGGAAGGTGATGCTGAGCACCAGCACCATGCAGGATGAAGCACTTAGGAGGTGTCCGTCCACCCCTGTGCATGGGCATGTGGCAGTGGCTCATCCCAAAGATACTTCTCCATCACCAAGCATAAAGAAAGGCATGATCATGGTCTGAATACCAATGGGGGGAATAGGAGGGTCTCAGGTGGCTGATCTGGTGCTTGGGATGCTGAGGGAGATGCTGCCAGTATCTCTGTCCTTGTGAGCTCATAAGCAGGATTCCCCCCCTCTCCCCCCCATCACCAGGGTGACAGGGTCTCCGCTATGTGCTCAAAGGAACTTATCCCCAGCATCTTTCCAGACCATCAGACACATGAGTGTCTAGGGAGCTGGGGGGCTGAGTGGATACAAGGATGGTGAGGGCCCAGCAGGGGCACAGCAGACAGCACAAGGGGCACCCTAGAGGCCAGGGCAGAGTGCCCCCTAGTCGCCAGAACAAGAAGAATCGAAGGTTTTCCAACACGCCACTGGTCAAGAAAAAAGGTGACAGTGAATGAGTTTATTATATTGGCCTGTGTAATTGTAATTAAAATTAGCTACATGCTTAATGCTCCCCAATGAGTTGCCTTAGCAGGGTATACACGTGTCTGTGTCACCTACTACTACTGGAAAAAGAGATGAACGCCACTGACTGCCTTTCTACCACCATGCTCCGCTGGGAAAAACAAAGCCAATCCTCACAGCACCATGAGAACAGGACCAGTCGCAACACCAAGATCAGCAACACCTGCAGCCCCTCACCTGTCCACTCAGCCTCAGCAAAGACCTCCCAATAAACTCCCTAAGATGCAGCCAGAATGTGATTTGATGTGGGGCGTGAGATACGGGATATGGGATATTGGATGTGACCATAGCAATGTGCAGCCACAAAAAAGGTTCCCCAGCCAAACTACTCACTCTATGCCACATCTCAATCACAGGTGGAGTCCAGAGAGCAAAAATCCTCATTTTCAGATTAAATCCTCTTTCTCCTCACATGGAGACATTAAAGGAGGCATTATGACTGACAGCTATTATTTTAACTCCAGCATTTCATAATGGATTTGTATAAAACAATAGATATAAAATGAAGAATGAAGATATAAAATGAAGATAAAATGAAGACATAAAATGAAGAAAAATAATCACATATATTAAGCAAAAACTTCGGTATTCATTAAATCACTCCTGATATTATTAAAAGGTTTCTAAAAAAATCAGCCATTACCCACAATGTTCTCCCAGGAGATGTTTTGGCTCCCTTCATCCCCACTATATTGCTTCATTTATTTTGTACAGCAGCCATTACCTGAACTGCATAGTTGTTTTTCTCCTCATTTCCAATGTGCATCCAATCCTCTCAAACTAGATCAGCCAGTACTTCTTTAGTCTGTATTTACTCATCACGAGATAAATGTGAGCAGGCTCACTGACATGAGTTCTATTTCTTATCTGCTCTTTAACTACTTTAAGCCAATGCTACACTGCTCACACTTAAAGACTGTCTGAAGGAAACCCTTGCCATTTCCCTGAACTTTGATTTCTGCAGTTATCCGTGAATCACCTGGAGCTGCACCTGTATTTATGCCAGAACATGAAGGGTGGAGATAACGCAGAGATGAAGCATGGCTCCCCAGTGTCCCGTGGTTTGGGGCAGACATCAGCCTTGACTCAACAGCCCCAGGGCAGCCCTCTCACAGCAACACTACCCCAGCCTCCGCTTTTCCATTTGGTCATTGAAACAAATAAATAGAAACTATGAAGGAAAAAAAAAGCAGACATGCCTTTTCCTGCCTTTCCTTCCTACATTCCTCTCTCCACTTTCTCCTTGCCTTTCCCCTGCCTTCTCCTCATCCTCTCCCTTTCATCTTGTGCCTTTCCATTTCCCCTTACCTTCCTCCTTTCCCTGAGCCTTTCCCTTTATTTCTTGCCTTGCCTGACCCTTTTCTCCTTTTCCTTTTTCCTGCTTACCTTTTTCATTCCTTTCCTTTCTCCTTTTTTTCCTTCCTTTTCAAAAGCACCACTACAAGCATCCAGCCAAACCTTGCATCTTTCCTGAGTTCCCTCAGGTCTTTTTGTGTAACCTCTCCTGTATAACCTGCTGCTCAGCAGGTGTCTTCCCAAAAGGTCTCTCTAATCATTTATTCTGAAATAGCAAGGAAGGAGAAAAATAAAGCACATGCATCTCAAAAAACAGACACATCTCACTGTCCTGTGAGGGGCACCAAACAAGCTGTACAGATGAAAAAACTGTGGGTTTTTTTTTTTGTTTGTTTGTTTTTTTAATGTTTTGACTTACACTTAGAAGCATCCAGGACTTACCTGCATCTCTCATGTAGTCTCCCATAGCCAAAATCCAGTTTTCAAGTCTATCCAGTGCAGTGTCACAGCAAGTCAATGAAGCTAAATGCTGAAACTCTTGAGTTTCTGGGTTCATGCTCTTCTATTTTGAAATAAAAACACACCTTATATCTTAAACATACTTCAGAGCTTGCCTTAACTTCTGAACTCATTTCTGTATGTAACACATATTTAATTTCTTACTCCCCTAAAATAGTATTTATTCCCGCCACACCAGAAAAGTCATCCTAGCCTTATTTTCCTCAAGCCCTAAGCAACCCATCTGACTGAAAACAAATCACAGCTAGAGAGCTATTGCCACCAGCTGTAGAACGTTACTTTAGCTAATAAAAGTTTCCTTTTAAATTGCCATCTAATAGAAAATGGAGAAAAAGGACAGATATGTCATCCGTAGAGAAAGGAGAGCCTCAAGTTTAAAAGCTAGTTATTTGAGGCTCTGAAATACCAACAAGCAATCCTTTTTCAATATTCACTCTTCCCTGCCTGCACTAGTCAGAGCGTAATCACTGATACCCACTAAATATCCCCATGCCAGGATAGCTTCTTAAGAGTCAGGCTTCACCAAGAGTTCAGAATTCATTAGGGAGCATCTCTTATTCTCCAAGTGAAAAACTGCCATCTTAAGAATACTTTCTGGCATCTGCTTCTACAGAAAACCATGGAAAAGATTCTTAATTTCCTAAATCTGCACTTTGCTAGCTCACACCCAACATGTACATTTCCAATACCTTCCCATAGCTAAATATTTTGGGTGTTTCCTAGCATTAATTTGAGATACCAGAACAGAGAAAAATGAGATCTTGCCTCAGCATGTGCTAACCAGTCTACACAACAGGTAGCTCTTTGTAGTCTCCCTCCTTCAAAGAGTGCCCACATTCAGTTTTCCAGCACTATCTCTGTTAATTTATTTTTATTTTAAAGACAACCTTTCTGGATGGGCTTTAACTAATAACAGCTGTTCCAGGTAAACTCTTCTAAATATCCTGGGGAACTTTCAAAGCCATCACCTCTATCAGAAACACTCCATGTTGTGCTGTCCTAAGATCCTGCTGAGTTATTAAAATAATTCATACATTCCTTGGGTTTATAATTCCAGAGTTTCCTTAATCCCTGACATTTCTTATTGATGAGCTTCCAGACCTAAGTGAGAAATCACTGTTGTAATTTAAATCATGGCTTTACACTTAGTATGAAGTCTGTAACCATTTTTATTATTTTATCTGTCAGTGACATCCTAGCCTCTCAGACACTTCTCACACAGCACATAATGACTGTATACATGCCTGAGATGCTATGCTGGAGAGGACAGATAACTCCTTCTAATGTGTCTAGTGGCAGACAGAAAGAAGTCCAGCTAACCTTTATTTATATATTAAAAAAAAAGAAAGTACTCACCTTGTACGTAGAGAAGAGAGGATAATTATCTTCACCGGATACCATGTGAATATTCCTACAGCCACATGCCATGCAACAGCAATATCACAATCTGCTTCAGGAGCTGCAAGAACAAAGTAATGTCTTTAACTGCAGATCTAGGCATACTTCATGCCGTGCATGGCAACTTCCCCTCTTACAACGAAAAGACTTTCTAGTTAAAAGAAGAGACTAGACCACAAGGTAGCCCCCAGTGCATTAGCTGCTTATAAGCCACTCAGAAGAAGAGTAAGCAAACATTCACACCATCACAAGTGAGCAACTCACCTGTGTCACAAATCTGACACCAGCACATCTGAATGTATGCACACACAAAAAAGCAGAGTCTACAGCTGACCAGGGACATTTCTATTTTTTCCTAGCAGAACAGGCTTCTTTTGAATGAGGTATTTCAAATTTCAGGGGAATTATTCCATCAGGCCAGATAGGACACAACAGTCACAAGCCTCATGACATATTCTGAGGTGTATAATGAAAGACAAATGCTTGAGTGTGAGACCTATGTTCCTATTTCCACATAGACTCCATGGAGACCTTCTTGTGTCTACAGAAGCCGACTGTGTTTCCCAAGGAAGTACATGGTATAACTGACTCTGTGAATCTTACCCAATAGGCATCCAAAAACAGGAAAAGAGAAGCTCAGCCAATCAACTGATCCCAGAAGTCAGATGGTTCATATCTGACATTTGATGGTGCATTCCCTGACATTCCGCCTCTTAAATGGAGGATGATAAAATGATTTTATCATTTAACGATAAATGATTATCATTTAAATGTTAAATGATAAAAGTTAAATGATTTTTATACTATTTCTTATTTTTCAGGTGGAGCTTGAGTGTCCCTAGCCACATACATACCTTTGCTTATGATTTGTGTAAAATTCTCTTGCCTCACTTCTAAAGTTATAGGCTAAAAAATTCAGAGCACAGGCTCAGTGGGGGACAGTTGCACCTTGGAGACAAGTAACCTCTGCGATAGAGGTGTGTTTTGGTATTATAATGAGCACTTAATGAGTGTAAAAGGAGCTAAATTCACTCAGGATGGCATTTTGTCAAGAGATAGTGAACTGTTGGGTAGCAGGTATGCAGTTAATCACTACCATAGTACCCTCATGCTCCCATTCCAGTGATGTTATATTAGAACCTGGCCAGTCTCTACTCCGCTCCATCCTCCATAACATTTCTTCTTAGCATCAGCAAATCATGTTCTCCTGATGTTACCAACACCTAAGGTTACCTAGGGAACTGCTGTGAACCGGATTCCTTGCATATCAGCTGCACTCTGCTATTGAACCCCTGCAAATAGTGCTGTACCTTAATTCTTAATTTCCAGTGAACAACACTGTACCTTCATTTCCATTTATAGCAATTATATCACAAAAGCACAGCTTGATGTTTCTCACTCATCTTCCACTATGAAGTATGCTGCCAACTTGTGTCACTTGTGCCCTGCAGAATACCAGCAGTAAGGATTGCAGTAGAGATGTGAGAGCTGCTAGGTTTCATTTGCAGATTAAGGTACTCAGCCTAATGGCCTCACCCCGGGCCTCCACAGCCTCCTCCCTTGGCCTCAGTACTGCATTTAAGCTTTGGTAAAGGAGTTGGTTTCTGGTTTCACTGTAGAGAATGCAATGAGTGTTGCATTGTTCTTGTTTGTTGCTGTGTTTCTTTCCTGTCTTGAAACGGGCAATGTTGTTGGACTGACTTCAGACCTTGGACTGTGACTATGGATGGTGAGAGCGCTGCTTTCTAGTTGTCTTTAACTTTAAGCTTTCCTTTCCTGTATATGTGTGTATATATATATATATACTTCCCCCCAACCCCCACCCCCTTCTTCCCCTACAAACCAATTATGGTGTATTTTATCTCCGTATGACTTAATTGTAGTATGTCGCTGAAGATTTCTTTCCTAATGACAGTTGATACAAATAAAGCCAGAACATGTCCTTTTCAAAGCGTGTCTGATCATTCTCTCTCTTATTCTTAGAAATTCTCAATCTATTTTTGGATAACGAGCTTGTGGCAGTACTCCTCATTTTCCTGATTTCTAGCAACATTTCTATTACCTGCTTCAGCCTAGACTGGAATACTGGAATAAAGGTCTCTTGTTACTTGTCCCCATGGAGTGACACTCCAATAACCTCCTGAAAGTTAGAACCAGAGCAGGGGCTCTCATCCCAGGTAAATGAGAGTTCTGGACCTATTTGTCTCCCTCTGTATGCAAGAGGGAAGGCTGGACTTCTTGGTCTTCCCAACCTCCTTTGGATTCCTGAGGAACAAGGAAGCTCTAATGGTCACAGTGGAATGAGTACTACTACATTGGCTAACAGGGCCCGAGGTTTGTTGCATTTGGGGGAGTGAGCGGGAGGAAGGAATGCAAAAAGAGATAAGGCAAATGCTATAATCCTAAATTTAAGTGTCAAGTAGTCTGATAAGAACTGCATAGATTATTTTTTTTTTTCCTAGGTTCCTGCTTCTGATTTAAAAGCTAACTATGCCTTATCTTTAGAGAGGATTGATCTAATTGCTGGAGCACAGCATGTAGAACAAGGGCCTGAGCATTGCACGCTGTGCTGGGGAACACTCAGCACATTGGAGATTTCTCTAGACTGCTGCCTTCTCAGTTGTAATGACCAGGAATGCATGAGTGGGAGTCTGTTAGAGGGCTGATACCTGGGGAGGTAGCTGTAGCTGTTAACTCCAACTCTACAAACAAGCTTCCCGAGACAAAGGGATGCTTTAAAAAAAAAAAAAAAAAAAAAAAGGGGTCTATAAAGAAATACAGGCAAAAAACACAGCTCTGATGTGCATTCTTCTATCCCAGGGTAGGGAATGTATCAAGTGACAGCCCACTAGCCCCAGGGTTCAGCACTGTGGCTTTGGTCTGTTCTCTCCAGTCCCTCCTTCTCTCTCTTCCTCCCTCCTCCCTGCATCTGTCAGGCACTGGTGAGGTCCATTCCCTTTCTGCTACACTCAGGGCTGCAGCCTTCCTCCTCCCTGCACTGAACCAGTGGTTGCTACGGAGAACTCTTAACTGTAAGTGGGGATAGCCTATGCAAGCAAGAGGGGAGGCTGGCTTTAAGTTGGGCTGGGCTATTCACTGTTCTGCTATAGCTGGGAGCTGAGGTGAAACTGCAAGTGCTTTGTTGGCAACAGGTTTTTGTGTCTGTGCATGTATGTGTGAAGGAAATGCTAATCCTGCGCTCTGAGTTGGGTACATAACAGTGCCTGCATAGGGCTCCTGGGGGTGTCAAGTATCTGCCTGCTGGTAAGCAAGTCCCTGTGCGCTGCTCCGGTTGGTCCAAGGGAGTATAATGCAGCCCTACTGACTAGTTTGTACTGGTCACTTTTGGGATACTGGTGCAATATTGTGACAGTACATGCATATCTGGTATAAACAGCTTTGTAGTTCAAAAGCAATGTGAGCAACATTACCATCAGCAGGGATCACTGGACAGGGGGAGCATCTGCACAGCTACTGCTAGAAATGCCCTTCTCAATGTGACAGCCACTTCATCTTTATACAAAGCTCAAGGTCCTTACAGAGAAAAGACTGTTCCCACTAAGGGTGCACTCGTGAAACAGAGTCATCTAGAGTCCTTTGTGTACCTTGATCTGTCCATTTTTTTTTTTCCCCGGCTGACTGTAAGTGGCTATCAATTTTAAAGGGCTGACAAAATGTTTCACAGGGCAATTGTCAGATGCCTCTAACAGTTGCTCTGAGTCTAGCAAATCTATATGTCAGAAATTAGAGGTTCACATTTTTGGCTGTCAACAAAGTTGCTGCATGCCTGGTACAATATTTTTGAGCAAGTCTTCCAGTTGTTCCATTTGCAATAGTCCATGCTGTACTGCTGTTAATGCTGGCAGTGTAATTACATCAACAGAAAATCAAGTGTGCATAGGTGTACAGAAAATGATCTTTTTGGGGAAAAATATTATTGTTTAATTCCCCCTTCTCAAGGGCATAGTTACTTGATGGTTTGGTTCCTACACTTCCCAAAACCAAAGATTAAAATGCTGAGGTTTTCATTAAAATGCTCCAGTCAATCAAGTTGGAAGATAACAGCAAAATAAGTACCTTCTAGTGGATAAATCCAGGTTATTGCAACAGTATTATGATATGACTAGCACAGGTTATGGTAGTTAAAGTATATCATCAGCCTGCTAGAGAAAGACAGTTTAATGATCCATCAAATCTAACACTATTCAACATGAGTTGCTTTGAATACAGAAATGAATGTAATCAGGAACAATTTGTCATGCTTCATTTTCAGCTATCACTTGTTGAACAGAATTAAGTTGTGGAGAGGACTTTGTCCATTATGTGAGCTCAAGTTAATTCTGACAGAGTCCTTGAAGTACAGTTACAAAACAAACACTTTTAGAGCTCAAAGGCACCTGCATGATTAACTCGGCTAAGATTTATACATTGGTGGTTTCTTACAGCTATTTTAATTGAAGTCTGAGTTGTAACTTGCTGAAACAACACTAATAAGTGATAAGACTTAATTAGGAAAACAGCAATGACAAAGCAGGACACCTTACCTTGCCACAAAAACTGCTGGTGTTTTCTTGTCACTAGTGCTATATGCCATCTCATCTTTATGGACACAGTGCACCTGCAGAACAACACAAAACGGACACTGAGTACGTGAGTGATAGCTTATATCAGGACAAAAAAGCAACTCAACGGTTTGAGCCTCTGAGATTACTGAGGGGCAGGGAAGTTAAGATATGAATACATAAAATCTTTATTTCTGATAATAATAAGCCCTAGGTAGTTATCCCTGATGTAAAACACAAAATAGATGAACCTTTTGTAAGTCATACACAGAATGTGTAGCTGGCTGAGTTTGAACTAGCATATAGCAATAGAGGATGGGGAGAGGATACAGGCTTGAGCTACTAACCTTAAGGAGTTTGTTGCATAGAACAGTAAGTCACCCTAAAAAAGCAGCATTCACTCAAGCCTTGACTGAAAACAAGCAGGGTTAGCAGCTGTTGCTCTGACTTGCTTCTACTCAGACTTGAGTGTGCTTGGGTGATGAGGGGGGAAATAAAGAAGAGTAGCTCACACTAACACCTATATTTCTGTGAAATGACAGCAAGTACTGGAAAGATAGAGTCTATCTCATAACTCTGGACTGTTACTGCGATTCTTGTCTGAAATGGATGCTTATTAGGTAGCTCCCTCTGCTTTTCCTATATTCTTTTCACCTTAATTTGTAAACAAACTACCTGTGTTCTGTTGTATGTAGATGAATTAGAATACATGAATATTACAATTAGATGGGTCTTTCATCTACAGAGAAAGGAATATATTCCAGAACTTCTGTCGTCCAAACTAAGGTTTACGAAATATTCCCCTTTAAACATTAAGTGTCTTTATGACGGGATGCAAGACAGTACTTCAGAAAGCTGTCACAAACATCATTACATGAATAAACTTTCCTCCAATATACAACCTAATAAGATATACGGGCAACTAAAGCAAGCTGTATATTTGCCAACAGGGAAGCATAATCCTTGCTGGCATATTAAGCTCCACATTATCAGAAATAAAATGGACACTTCATGATTTCATAATCAGGATCCTTGTCTTTCAACTGCAACATCAGCATTCTGGTATGAGCTAGGAAACTAAGAGCCGGATGGGCTTCAGGGGTAGGCAAGAGAAGCTAGAGCAGATTAAAGCTCTCTCCTAATCAAGAACTTCCAGACCAGCTTTCAACTAGTGACTGCAATTCTGTGATTCTGTGACTGTTTATCCCACTACATATGCTAAGATTAATGTTTAAAACTCCTCCTGGAGAGATGGCTGCAGTAATCTCTGCTCCCACTTGCATTTGGGGTTACTACTCTGCTGGCATGCCTTGTCATCCTTAAATTCACACACTAGCACCTGTGACAAAAGCTTCTGTAGTTACCTTAAGATATGATTGTATCTTAACCACAAAACAACATAAATTGGAACAATTTCTTAGTAATTCTGTCAAAATAGAAGTAATGCTTCAGCTCTATCTACGCTTTTGATCCAAGGCACATTCACTCATTCCTTACAAATTGTTCTGCTGTAGGACCTCAATTACTTCCACTATTCCAGCTGTCTAGGCTGACTGTATTTACTGAGGTCCCTGGTAATTTCCCTTCATGACTGGAAAGCCACTACTTGAAGATTTTATGTCAGGAGGACTTAAAATTTAAATAGTTTAATTCTATTCAAAGCTTCTCAACTAATGCACTTGAGGAAGTGTTTACCCCTTTTTGAGTTCAATTAATGTATTAATAAAGAACAGAAATACAAGCAAGGTACGAGGGAATACCAGAGGGCATTTGATGCTCAGTGTCTAGCTCACAGGAACAGCAGCTCTTTCTGATCAGTCAACTTGAACTAAGGAGAAGAGAGCAATCTGAAAGGCTTGATAGGCTGCTTTCGAAATACTGCTAAGCTTGCTGCATTTGGTAGTAACACACGCACTAGTATCAGGAAGAACGCTACCTCTGCTGTATTAGTCTTTCTGCAACACTTTCTGGTAATAGCCCTGAAAGAGTCACTGAATTTAATAACAACCTCATTACTTCTCTACTGAATGCATGCCTGAACAGAGCTAAGATGCAATAAGTACACTTTACTTTCTGCACAGTCATGGCTCATATATTGTACATCCTGTAGCAAGCTCAACACTCCTCCTGACAGCATTAGATTGGTAGCAGTAGGGCAGTCGATGGTGGGAAACCTCTCTGAAGCGCTAATCTCCCAAAGTGACAGATGTCTTGAAAAGTGGACCAAGCACCAGGTCAACTGAGTGCCTTCATTTTGCCTCAATAAAAATGGATAGCTTTCAATTGGATGTTGTGCATCTTCCAAACAGATTCTCTCCTGTAGGTGCTATGTTTTCTGACTCAGTTACTATTAATTTACAGCACGGGCAAAAGGCTCTCTTGCCACAAGCGAGCTAAGTTCTGTACTGAATGGGTTCTATAACTTCCCTGCAGTTTATTTAATGAGTGCTTATCTGATAATTTATCTCCTCCTATGCTGCTGACATTAGCAGTAGTAACATCCTGGTTTCTCATTCTGCTGCTGACAGGCAGGAATAAGGGTAAAAAGACTCTTTGACTTCAGCTGCAAAAACGCCACAAGGAAATTCAAGACTGAGGCTTGGGATGCAAGTGATCTTGAAAGAGTTGTTGAGGAAAAAATGATAAAAGCCATCTGCAAGTATAACAGAACTAATGTATTTTATGACTTGGTTTCTTAGTAAAGTGGCTAGACTTCTGTAGTAGAATTTTAATCTTATTTCAGGGAACAACTGGCTGAGGTTTTAGTTAAAACAAAGTAGCTTGTGACACATCAGTACAGAAACCACACTCAGAAGCTTGAAGGCTAAGTGTTAACAATAAAACCTGTTATAATAATGAAAAACAATAGTTAAGAGCCACCTAAATACAACACATACACAGAAAACTAAGTGCCTTTGCTGCAAAGGAATCCTCATTTACTGTGTTAAGTACCCTTCCAGCTAACTATTGAAACCCTATCACTACCTGTTTATTCAGTCCTCTTTCCTTGTCTCCTCTGTGGCATGTCACATATCTTCATGACAGATGAAGGCAGATTTCCACCCTGTGCTCAATCTACCGCCAAGCAGGAAACTTCAAACACAGAAACTTTCTCAGCAAACTGACAGAAGTCACAAATACGACTAAAAACACCAACGTGCTGACACACTGACATTGGCAAATGGCAGAAAATAGCTATAGCAAAGCCTTGCTACAGTAAATTTTCAGCATTAAGGTTCTTCACTCGGTGTGGGAATAAGGCCTATTTAAGCTGTGATATTATCTGAATGTCAAAAATAAAAAACAGTGAAAATTTCATATTCTAGACAAATAAGAAATACGCTGTGAAAGCCTCATGCTACAGCATCTTTTGAATAATATTTGCATTTTGGCTTTTTGGCGAAGGGTGTCTTCGTACTGACGAGGATGAGTAATCCACAATTAAAGTCTTGTTTTGTCTTTTATAGCACTCCTACTGATAGCACTGCTCTTTATAAATAAGACAGGAAAAGGGGAAGATCTTTAGAAACAAGAAAAATAAAACCCACAAAACTAAAAAAGCCTTTGGCAAAATACTGCATTTTTCTCTGCTCAGATTTCTCAGATGACTGTTAGGGAAAGACAAATGTCCAAAGCATAAAGCCCATTCATTAGTCTTGCATGAGCATGTCTCCCTGCTATTATCCATTCATAGATGTTTGATTTGCTTCTCAGTGTATATTTTGTGTTTGCAGGAGTGTACAGCAATGAAAGTAAGTTTTTAATTATAAACTCAATACTCTTAAATGTCTCTTCTATTACAGCTTCCTCTTAGCTGAAAGGCTGCTCTTTACCTGTGACGCATTCAGTGTTTACTGTGATAGGACACTAAGTGCTTCATGAAGTATTCCATGAAATTACGATGTATTACAAGATAAATCAAACATTTGCTTCCAGAGTACTCTATTCGTATTCCTAAATATCTTTTGAGTTTGCACTCTGCAATTCAAGTTTTCTACAGACCAAGCATCTCTCATTATAGAGGAAGATAAAATTAAACTCAAAATTAGGTTAACACACACCTAATAAACACTTCCAAAGATTGTAACAGTATTCTGTAATGAAATCATTTCTTTACAGAAACACTGTATTGCTTGTGATGTTTAACATGACAAGCCTCAATGCTCTGTTTTATCAGGAATGGCTTCTGCTCTTCTGCCTATTGCATACTTCTGGAGCCCATTTGGCTGTTGTTGAAGTCTTCTTCCACTGAAAGTGGAAGCGAGTCCTTCTTACAATGTACTGCAGACACATGTCCATTTTAGCCAGCTTTTTGAAATGTATGGTAGTAAAATAAATATTTCTGAAACTTAGAATAAGATGGAGGCACACTACAATATACTTTTAAATATACCTTTTCTTTTAACGAAATGATCCTGTAACTTGCACTGTTTCTCTGAAAGCCGTTCTTTAGAGCCTTCTGATTTTTCCTGCAGCTTTCTTTTAGACTTCTTTGATTTGGTCCAAATCTGTATGCAACATACCAAATGAGCTGTAAGTAATTAACATTGGAGGCATTTTGTGCATTCTGTCAGCTATCGTTCTACTTACGTGCTTGTTTTGCTGTGCTATGCTGCTCTTCACTTTCAGCCAGAAACTTGGTTTAAGTTACAGATCCTCATCCACAATGCTCCCACAGACTTCTCCTCCCCTGCTTCTCCAAACATTGCTATGCAGCTGCTCTGATTGAACAGCTTTTGATTTTAGGCTGCTTTCCACAGGAAATGTTAATTTGCAGACAAAGCACCCAGTATGCAATTGGTCCATGTTCCCTGGTATTACTTCCATAAGTGTCCTCCTCTTACTCCATAAACATTACAGCTTAGGGTTTTGTTTGTTTTGCTGTATTTTGCTATCACAAGCTTATAACTTCCAAGCAGAACAGAGGTGCTACCAAGGTCTCCAGGAACTCTCTGCAGTTAACCCGTTATCAAGTGTGCAGCTAAGGACAAGATGACTCTTTTAGCACTTACTGCAGTACATTTTCTTTTTCCCCCAGCGACACCTCAGTTCTTCATGTCTCTGACAGTTCATTGTCTTTGTTTTTGCTTCTAAGCCATCAGTCAAATCCACAGTAAGATTTTATGCACACAACAATATGGATAAAAGTCAATCAGAGTGCATGGAGATGAAGTAGTAACGCCTGGCTCCTGAGAATACCAGAATTCTTCCATGTAGCCAACATAAAAGTAACTGCACTCACTTCATAATTACTTTGATCTGTTGCCGTTATGAGGTAAATTAATTTTCCATATCCAATGGCACAAGATTGCCCTGTGAGACTTAATGCTGCTTATTTGTGTAGGGATGCTGTCACAGATGTTTCACTAACTCATCAATCTACTGTGTTTAAAAACAATATGCAGGCAATTTTTCATAGTGCAGCCATGCCCTTATAAAATTACTAAGTGGAAGCAAATTACTCTTATTTATCATCCCACGATATTTAGGCATTATATTACTTTCCCCTTTCTTTGATGAATTATGTTTTAGTCCTGCTTCTCTCTACTATTTATCAGTCTGTTTTACCTATAAAACACAAGGGACTACATTTTGTTTCTTCTTCCAGCCAATCCCATCCCCCTTGAACTTAAAACTTTGAAAACTTGTGTACTTTGCCATTTCCTCTAAGCTACAGTATTTGTACAGCAAGCTCACCACATTTGGTACAAAAATGGTACAAGTGCAAGTGTGATCAGATGCTGTAAGACAGAGACAGATCCCATTTGCAATTTCTTGCTTGTTGGTTACAAATGTTAACAATTAAGGTTCTTTACTAAAAAGATTGAAAGTGGTTGGTTCACAATATACCATCAGAAAAAGAGGCCGAATCCAAGATAAGCCTAGTGAATAAGGGAAGCACAATAAAATTATGCTTTTAGCATGATAAATGATAATTTCAGTTGTCTTAATGAATAGAATTCTAATTAATTTATTAGAATACAGCTACTACACAAGAGTGACACATAAGGGTTTGTAAACCCTGGGACCAAAGTTTCATACCAGCAAGAACTTCTTAAAACATTCAGCAAAGCCTGTGCGGCTATGAACTATTGTGTATGTATAAAGGTGTTATGTAGCAATGAAATCTGAACCATAAGTATTCCTTCTGCGCTCTTGCTCAGAAGAACAAAGCTCACCTACCAAAGAGCTTCTCCCCCAACACAGAGAACTCCAAAGAGCACAATACTGAAGGCAAGGGAACCCACCTGTCTTATCTGCAGGGTTTCATTGCGACAGCATAGATCATGAACAACAGAGTGCAAAGTAAATGCAATCTCCCTAGTCTGGAACGCCTGTCTTAAAAGCTCCACCTCCAGGAAGCACGGGAAGGAAAAATAGTGTTCATTTACAGTAAAAAACACTTGTGGCTCTCCTATTTGCACACAAATGCTAGAGAATATTAACTTGGAATGAACCTCAGAGGAAGCAACAGCAACAACCGAAAGAGACAAGTGCGTACTTATTTTTGTTAGATGAGAAAGGTCAGAGGGCCTTACTTTTCCCAGAAGCTTGTTTGGGACTGGATGCGCTATCAATCTTGGCCAAAATTTTCAAAGTAGGTGTGAGACCTACCAGGCAAATTAGTCTTGTGCTTACCCAGCACACACCAGAATTCCTATTTTCTTGCACAGTTGCATTCACTACCTAAAATGCAGCAATTTGCCTAGGAAAACTTCATCTGTTGCTTTGTTTGCTCCAAACATATGAGCAAACATCCAGCAATATGAGATTACTGGCTCCATCTGCTCCACTCCTCACTATTACACCTCTACTTCATTTCAGCACTAGCTATTAGAAGGAAAAAAAAAGCTGAACTCGCAAACACTTATATTTCTAACTTGAATAACCCCAACAATTGGCAGCCTTATAAATGACTTAGAGCTACAGGCCAAGTGCTTGGATTTTACATTCATCACCCAGAATAACTATGTCAAGTGGAAAGGTCGTGACACTGCCCTTTCTTTGTGGGGAAGATCTTACAATAAGCACTGATTCTCATCTACATGGTTATCTCCCTGAGCAGGGAAAGCTTAGCATCCTGCTCTTTAGTACCCTGAGAAGCTGGCCAGGGAAGAGGAGGCAAGTGAGCAATCATTTCTTGATAGAGGCCAAAAGGGAGCAGAAGAGATGCTAAGATTAGATAGGATTTTAGTGATGAAACATTTCCTGGGATTTACAAAGCACAGCTCAAGAGCTGTGATTAAAGGAATGGCATAAGCTACTATTGACAAATGTCTATTTTTGACTACTGCTCTCGCTGTTCATCATGTTTGTATGCAGTTTCATCAGTACCTGTATTGTTCAGGGAATAATAAAGCTACTATTAAAACACCTACAATAGCTGAATCTGATCTGCATAATTAAAACATTTGGCACATAAAACATTTGAATGAAAGCAATTCAATAATTTTGAAAATATTTTGAATGAAATAAACTAATACAGTTTTTCAGCACAAAGGCAAACAAAAGGAATGCACAACCATTACAGGTAGTTAGTACATTGCTTTGTTAAAATACATAAAGAATATGTAAAAATACAAATGCATTGCAAATGCTGTATAGCTGCTGACAGCCAACACAGCAGAAAACACAAGACATCTATGTAATATTCACCACTATACTTGTTCCAAACCTGGGGTATACCAGAATATAAATATTTTCTCTGAACTACTCGGAAGTGAAACGCTTGCAAAACTTTTGACATCACTGAATTTCATTAGCAAACAAAATATAGAAGAACTGCAGCGCTTTCCTGAGAACTAGACACGAGTAAATGTAACAGGGAAAAAATAGGCAGAAACAAAAGCTCTAATTAGCAAGTCTGTTTAAAGGAAGGAATTTAGTAGAAAAGCTAGAAAATACATCCAGCTATCCTGTACTTTAACACATTTTAAATATAGAGGTCATCCATGTTTCCTGACTTTTTTCTTGATCTGTGTAGATTGCACATAGGAAAGTAAAATCAATTAAGGTCTAATATCAGTTGTACACAAAAATTTTTTTCAGTTAAATGTGACTGGATTTGGATACATTCAGGTGAAGATTCATGTCTTCTAAATGCTTTATTTTCACCACTGTTTTTAATGTCTCAGTAACATCACTTTTGCCTAAGAGTTAGTTTACTCAAGCTGTTGAGTAAATAGATTTCTCAAGAATTCTGATTTCCACTCTCCCACCCTCCCCCCCCTCCCCCAAATAAATGTTTTCTTTGCTTGACACATCACAATAGATTTGTTTACATTCTGTCTGCATTTCCTCTTATTTGGGAAGGGAAGAACATTTACAAAGACTGGAGAAGGAAGAAAATTTTCAGCAGTCTTACTGGTCACTTCTATATACCTATATTGTAGAATCAAACTAATATTAACTAATAATATTTGTTGCTTTTCCACTTTGAAGGGGAGGGCAGAATATGGACCACTAGAATAAGCCGTAAAGGGATGAGAATACACAAGCTCAAATGTTTGGTTATGTAGTATGCTTTGAGCACACTAGTCACATTTCTTCAAATAATTTAAATTGCATTATAATGACCTTTAAAAAATATCTTTTAAGGCACATTACAACATGAGTAAGGAAACAGACTCAAATTCTTCATTTGAATGGCCTCGTCTGCTGAGTTATAACGGGACATACAAGTACCTCTACTTAGAAGGCAATGTCTCTTACGTGGACTTCTACCATCATCAGCCTTCAGTGGCAGCTGTCTTCATTGTCTCTTACCTCCTCATCTTCCTGCTCTGTATGGTTGGCAATGGAGTAGTCTGCTATACTGTTCTGAGGAGCAAGCATATGCGAACAGTCACAAATCTTTTCATCTTGAACCTGGCTGTCAGCGATTTACTAGTGGGAATCTTCTGCATGCCCACCACCCTACTGGACAACATCACTGCAGGTATGCTGGTTCACACTGCACAGCAAAAAGAGCTCGAAGGGGATTCACCTGTATTTGAGTGCTGACCTCCTTGGGAAACCTGAGAGTTGCTTGTACGTGACAGCGATCCACATATACTATTCTTAATCTCTGTCACTGGCATACAGAATCCAAACTCCACTGAGAAAGATGAGGGCAAATTCAGAGCTCTTATCTTGCATATAGGGCAGAAAGGGTTCAGGTTCACTTTGCAACACATATGGAGACAGCGCACAAAAGTCACCTAATAAAGCACTGGGTCAATGGCCCTGTTTACACACTGCTGTTTCTGAGAGAGTTCAGTTGGCATTTCAAGTCAGTGGAAGTCACAGAAGAGGAAAACAAGCCTCTAACAACCCTCTTAGTAGGGCTGTCCCTGCTAACTTCCACATCCTGCATCTTTAACAAGGGATCACCAGTACTATGTTACATGCCCAGGAAGACTACGCGGGTACTCACAGCAACATGCAGAGAGCAATCCTGTAGCAGTCAATACCCTTTTCTTGTCTGCTGGTCTCTCTTTGCTGTTATGTGAAACCACAAATGCTTGCTCTGCTGCTTCTCAAAATATCAGAAACTCACCTAGGCAACTGGCAGTGCACTTATTTACATAACCTATGCCTTTCTGACCCCCCTACAGTGGCCTGCCAGAGCAAAAGAAAGTATTTGTTCTAGGACAGAAATTTCTTCTTATGCATATGACCACAGTGCTGCAATGAGACAGTAAAAATTTCAATTACCTGTTTCTTTCCAGGATGGCCATTTGGGAGCATGGTTTGCAAGATGAGTGGGATGGTCCAAGGAATCTCTGTCTCTGCTTCCATCTTCACTCTGGTTGCAATTGCTGTAGACAGGTAAGATGATGTGGAGATGATGAACTGTCATTTTCATCTCCCCTATGCCACCTGACAACACCGAGGCAGATTAATTCACGTAATACCACAACATATTAGACAGATGCAGTTTTAATGGGGCAGCCTTATGAACACAGTCATCTCAGAAGTGCATCCACAGTAATTGCCCTTCTGCCAGTATCTCTTAAAAATCACACAGCTGGGCTGTGCCTGACTGTGTAGAGTTGGTTAGTCCCCTAGTTAAGCTAGATAGCAGAAGCAGTGGTGCCTGCCATAGTTAACTGAAGGACCAGCAGGTTGATACAGACACATGATCAAGAGATCATCTTACACCAACTTTCTTCTAGATTGTTTTCCTTTTCCTCAACACAGTTCTTAAATGGAGCAATTACACACAACTCCACTGGTAATGCAGGATAAGACAATTCCATCTGTACCTTTTTAAAAAAATACACAATTTTAACAATACATAATTTTATACCTGTGTATAAGTTTATGTTTACCTCTCTAAGCAATCTCTAAATGGCTTCTCCACATACATTCCTGGATGCCTTTGCTGCAGGTTTCGATGCATCGTTTATCCGTTTAAGCAGAAGTTGACCACCTCAACCGCTATCATCATTGTAACAGTCATCTGGATTCTGGCCATTGCAATCATGTGTCCTTCAGCAGTCATGCTGCAGGTACAAGAAGAGAAGCATATAAGAGTAATCCTTGGCTATGGCAATGAAACTCGCCCTGTATATTGGTGCCGGGAGAACTGGCCTAACCCAGGAATGAGAAGGATCTATACAACAGTCCTGTTTGCTAATATCTACCTTGCTCCCTTGTCACTCATTGTTATTATGTATGCTAGGATAGGCATTGCTCTCTTCAATACAGCAGTGCCTACAGTGGGAAAGCACAGCCAGGAGCAGCGACACACTGTGTCTAAGAAGAAACAAAAAGTCATCAAAATGCTCGTTATTGTGGCTTTGCTTTTCACCCTGTCCTGGCTTCCATTGTGGACTCTGATGATGCTCTCAGACTATGCCAACCTGTCAAATATCCAGCTGCAGATCATCAACATTTATATCTACCCTTTTGCCCACTGGCTGGCATTTTTCAACAGCAGTATCAACCCCATTATCTATGGTTTCTTTAATGAAAACTTTCGCAGAGGCTTTCAGGCAGCCTTCAAATTTCAGCTCTGCTCTAAGGACATCATTCACAGGGAGGTCTACTCCCAGCGAGGCCAAAGCAATGCCATTTTGCCAGTTGCCAACTACCAAACACCCCAGGATCAAGCTTGTCAAGATGTCAAGGCAGAGAGAAAGCCAATTAGGAAAGGAAATTGGATGAATAACCAGCAGGATTTTAAGATGGAGAATCTTGAAGAGCCTTAGAACAACAGGATGAAATAAAGCATGTTATGTACTCTCTAAAAGATGTCCAACAGAATTTCTTTACTGGGTTGTGGAATTCAAGCTCTGTAAGGTATTTCTATTTCTAAGAAAAGAAATAATGTCGAGACATTTCTGTTTAGGAAATATGTAACTTGCAAAATATTTAAGCATTTGACACAAGGAAGAAGCAACGTTAATCCTTCTCCATCATCAGTTTAAACCAGGGACAAACTCTCCAGGGTGAGTGATGACCCACTGCTCTTGCACTGGACTAGAGCAAAGTCCTGATTGCAATGGGATTACCTCCCCTTTATCGCGAATTAAAAGAAAAAGAGGACTACAGTTATATACCCCAATACAATGATATCTGACACTGATGCAAATTGTCTTTCTGAATTTCCTGGAATGGCTGAAATAGGGCTGTGTGTACAATATTTGTGGTAACAATTCAGCATGTAAGGCTGGCTGTTATAACACTTAGAATCTTCTTGCAATATCAGGCAACAAAACTAACACAGCTGTCTGCAGTGGCCATCTGGACTACCATGCCAGGTACAGAAGGGAACCACGAAACTCACCAGGGTCCTCTGTGCACACACCCTCTCCTGGAGGGCTTTGACTGCCAGGACTCAGAGCAGCTCTGAGGCATCCCTTCCCACTGGTTATTCCAGAGAGAGGCTCCCAGACAGCACTATGGAAATGTCAAAGCACATACTGAGCTGCTTTTACAGTGACGCTCCTGAGATGGGCCCCTACTGCCTCACACTCCTTCCCTGGGACTGGTCATAGGCTCCATGGACCAGGCACTAAGCCTGCTCTGCAGGTCAACTTCCTTGCCTGAGTCCAAGCCTGACTCATCACCACAAACTTGTCTGATGGTCTGAATCCTCAGCTAAACCTGGCTTCGCATCCATCCCTGGTGAGGAGCTTGCCCTGCAACAAGCCTCATCTTCATGGGGAGCAGACAGCACTTGGAGCATTTTAAGGGAATCATCTGGTCTGGATATTTTTGTTTTCTGTTGTTTTAAGAGATAAATGTATCTATAAACCAATACATCTGCAAGTGAGATTTATATAAAGTCCACTACTAAAAGCCTGACTAATCCAACAAACTCATTTCATGATTAACATACTGCATTTCTCTGTTCAGCAGTGGGTTCTTGGTACTACGCTTTTGGGTGCTTCAAGTGAAGCATAAACTTGTCCCTGGAACTTAGTCCGTTACTCTCTTAAATGCTGGAAATACAGTCTGAATATCTGAACTTCACTCACCAGTTTGTAGACCTTCATGTACTTGTACTTCTGCCTGATAATCTCGAATGCCAATCACTTCCTATCAAATGGCAAAAGCAAGCACTGTTAGTCACATCCTCTTTATTCCCTTTTCTGGTTGTTCCTCTCTTGTTAATTCTGTGATATCAATTGTTCTTGGAGTTAAAAAAAAAATAAAAATAAAGTAAGAATTTGTGAAATAAAGGATGAAAGAATGGCTTCTGGAACAATTTGGGTGTGGCTTTTTTGTTTCTTGGATGATTTCTTTTTTGGTGTCTAGATCACCTAAAAGGACTTAAAGAGATTAAAGCAAGAGATAACACCTTTAGGACCTGTCAGCACTTATAAAGAGCAACTGTGGAAGCATCTCAGACTGGTTCTCAAGTTTAATCAGGCACACAATTTAGCACAAAGAACAGCCTTCACAGAACTGCTACCAGGTTAAAACATCACCATGCCTTGTCCTGCGAGAGTCTCTGGGAATCAGTTACCAGTTAGGGTCATTCCTTAGTGAGTAGGAGGCATCCTTGCTCATCAAATTGCAGTCTTCCTGCAGGTAAACTGGAGTACCTTTCAGATTTACAGAGGCAAGGAAAACTGAGAACTTTTCAAGCTGTATTGCCCCAAACTTTGTACCTTTCTGAGCTACCAGAAAAAAAGGAAAACATTCACTGAATAACAGGGTGGGGAAAATTCCAGTAACAACTGATTTTGCAGGCTTGTGGGTGCTGGGTTTTTTTTTTTTTTTATTAATAAGCATTGTACCTAGACTTGGATTTTTAAAGGTCTGATCAAATAAGAATCACTGATCCAGCTGTACACTGTTGAAAACTCCATCATAAAAAGTTTTTGGATCCTTAGGTATCCCACAGCTCCTGCATCTCTTCCATCCCTTGAAGCGAGTGATGTTAGATGCTTTTCTTCCTCCACAAAAATAGACAGGATGTTAAGAGTCTTTCATAGATGGGAAGTTTCAAAGATCTTAGCTTTTAAGATCTGTGAAAATCTTGCAGTTTTCGCGGGGCAGAGATATATATAAGAGGCAGAAAGCTAAGATAAGTCTAAATAAATGCACAGATACCACATTACATTCCAATGTGCAGCCCAGGTGGGTGAAAGCAGGAACAGTGTGGTAAAGCTCAGTTTGCCAAAAATGAGATAAGTCAGTGCTTTTGAACCTGATGGATTACAGCTCTCCCATTGGTAGTGACTCACTTCTACTGGGATATTAGCTGCAAAATGAAGACAGAGTGAAGAATGAACAGCAAGAAATAATGCAGAAGATAATGCAGGTAACCAAGCACCAAGAGACTAGTATTAATAAGCACGAAGGAAGGAATCGCTTCTGGAAGAAGCATTTTTGGAGAGTGAAGACATTCAGCAGACATTAATATTTACAGAAGGCAAAACAAACAGCTTAAAAACATGAAAGAGGCATAAAAGGTGAAGCTGAAAGCATCAGGAAAACTGAAGTAGTGACATATGTAATAGGGCCTCCCATTGCAGCCTCTGTCATAAATGCAGTGAAATTTCTGTTTAAATACACAAAAAGCGGAAAAGGCAGGAAAGACTTCAAAAAGCATTTAGGCAAGTGGGGAGATGAAGGTAGCTAGACAAGTGGATTTTTCAATGCTCTATGCAAGTGAAAGAAAATAGATCCTGCCTAAATCTTTTTAGTTTCCCTTTCAAGTATGAAAGCATAAGCAGTGTTTATGAATCTCAAGAACTCAGGATTCAAATCAGTCCATCTGTAGCATTTCTTTTCTTCCCCACATATCTTTGAGAATTATTTACTTTGCTGTTGTTACAGCTCCCCAGTATTCACATGCAAAATTGATAGATTAACTGCTAGCTTTGATTAGTAAAAACTAAGTAAGACCAAGCCATATTTGCTACTTCAAACCTAATTGATTCTTCATTACCCACTAACTCAGAAAAATAACACTTTTTAATTTTAGAGATCAGAGGGCACAGTTTGTTGTTATACAATAAATCACATCTGAAGTACTCAACTCCATCAAGAACACTGAGGATGCCCTGTCACATGCGAACTTTACCAAAAAAATAGTTCAAGTCAAATTATTTGCACCTCTTAAGTAGGCTGTTCTACAATTGCCAGATGGAGCAGGTAGCTCACTAAAGGAGAAGCAAGCATCTTGCAACTCTTCCCTGTGGCTTATTCCCAAATTGTTGCTCTACAACTGTGCTCTTCCGGATTTTCAGATGGGGACTGCCACAGTCAAGACCCTTAAAAAAAAAAAACAAATAAAAAACTTAAAGGTCTGCCTTCTCCAAGAACTGAGGAAAGCCTTCAGAAAAGTAATTTTGCTCTTATCTAGAAGACAGGGCTTACAGGTATTCAGAACCCAGTATCTGCTAGCAAACATTTCTGGCTATTAGATTATTAAGAAATCATATCTTCAGCCACATACACTAGGAGATGCCACATAGAAATAATTCTCTAGTCTTCCCTTTAGTACCACACAGGGATATGTTTTTTTCCCCCCATTAAGGAAATAATGAATATCTCATCTCCCTGGGCACACATTTCCAAAGCTTTCAACACCCTGGCTCCTCAGCTCAAAGGTTCAGACTGCATTTTTTTTTTTTTTTTTTTTCTTCTCTATTTTCTTCAGTTTTTACCTGTAAATGTTTCATGCTGTATTAGAAATGCTCTTCCATTCTATACTCTACTGCCTGTCTTCATGGAAAGCCTAATAAACAAAATGCCACAAAGCTGGTACTGATGGCTTTCTTTAGCTTAGGAAGTACAGTTGTACTCAGATTGATGGCAGAATCCTGCTGATAGAGTGACTAGTGCCTTTCACCCAGGGGACTGCCAAAGCATCAGACTTCAGCAGACACTACAAGTAGCAATCCACATACTCCTTGCCACTTGTTTTATGTATGCCTGCTCATCTGTTTGCTCAGCAGCACCATCGCTTAAAACAAAGAAAAAACATGTAGAGATGCGGAGGGAAGATTACAGAGCATAAGGAACTAACAGGATCTTTACAGGAAGATAAATTATTTCCAGTCCTTCAAGAAAAAGCTTCATGACAGTGGAAAATACTCAGCAAACACTTGCTTAGGAAACATCATTTGCTATAGAAACAGAAGCACAGATTGCAGCAAGCACACAGCTGACACAGAGGGAAAGAAAGTAAAACTACAACAATGAAGGTCCTACATCATGCAGCAGGCATTTTCCAACAGTACTGAAACGCTTTCTTCTCTCTCCATACTTGTTTTTTTTGCCACTTTTTGCAAAAATGTCCCCCAAACCGAGTCTAAGACTGAAATATTACAAACACATACCCTATACTTCCAGATATTGCTGTCTGCAGTGACTTCCAGGCCTCAGGAATTACTGTGACTACCAGAATGACTACCAGAACAACTACCCATTCTCCTATCACTGCAGACCTCTGGGTCTGAGCTGCCTCTTTAAATGGAAGTCAGCTGCCTAGTTCTTCTCCCTCTCCATATTCTCACCAGCAGCTTTCTTATGAGAACTTATATTCACTTGGTATCCTCTTCTATATAAACCCTTGTCATAAAACTGATATTCAACATTTGTCTGTACTCTAAGCATAGATTAAATCCTGCCCTTTCAAGCTTATCAAAACCTCTGGCATGTTAATCTCACTATCATTGTTCCACCATTTCTTTATGATTTGAGGTCAAACTGAGCAAGTCAATTCCTCTCTACCTTACTAATTGCTCATAAAAAGTAAACTCTTCCAGAAATCCTGGGTTCGATTACTCCTCACAGTTAGTAACAGCTGCAGTTTAGGATTGAACATCCTAGAAGATGCCTCTGAACCCTGTCTCCCTGATGAAGAAACCTATTTTGTTCTACTTGGGTCAGCATTCAGTCAAAAAAAAAAAAAAAAAACCACAGCTTGACAGGTATGCTCCAGAGAGGGAGGTTGCCCCAGCATCCTCTCCTGTTCAAGCTAAGCAAGACCAATTCCTTTAATCTATCTTCGTAGGAAAGGTGCTCCAGCTCTGACAGTCTTCACACGGCAGTCCTCTGGACCTATTCCAACAGCTCTACATCTTCTGCTGGAGGCCCCAGTCCTGGATGTAGTACTCCAAGTGAGGCCACACAAGCAGAGTAGAGGGGAACAGCCACCTTCCTTGCTCTCCTGCCACCCCCTCTGTTCATATAGCCCAGGATATATTTGGCCTTCTGAACCAGAAGCACATACTGCTGGCTCATGTTCAGCTTTTCATCCACCAAGACCTTCAAGTTTTCCTCCGCAGTGCTGCTGTCAAGCACTTCTCCAACTTGATACACATACACAGGAACCAAACCAAGGGCAAGGCTTCATTGAACCTCATTAGCTTTTTGTGAGCCTACTTTTCTAGTCTGTGTGGGCCTCACTACATGGCATCCCTTCCTTCCATTGCGTCTACACACAACTAAATGTCAACACGCAACTAAGTTTTGTTTTCCTAACTGAAATGTACAAGCGCTACTTTCAGTGACCGTTAAACAATACAAGCTTCATTGAAAGCGCCTAACTTCTAAAAAGAAATATATCCCATGGAGGTCTGGCTTCATAAGTTGCCTTTATTGATTTTTAAAACCCTTTATAAAAAACACCTCAAGAAGTTTTCAAAGTCCACAGTGTGTGCAGTTGTCACACAATTCCTGCAGAGAAGGCAAAGAGCTACATCAGTTAAGCTACCAAAACAATATTCAAGTCAAAGATGCAGTGAGAAATTACTAAAAAAAAAAAAATAAAATAAAATAATAATAATAATAATAAAATAAAACTGCTATTTGCAGTACAGACTTGTTTGAATTCAACATCATGGAAAATCTTGTGCCTTAAGTTAAGTTTTTCCCTTACAATCAACATGCTATATTTACAAGTTATAAAGACCTAGATGTTCTCTTTTTTGGGGTGATGGAGTAGCTGGACAGAGAATTTAACCTATTAAAAAATAAATACCAAGTAGTTACTCATTATAGTCAGTTACCAGCCTCATAACATGTGCAAATTCACATCAAAATGTCTTGTCAGAAAAGGATCTCACTTGTGCATGTGC